GATGGTGCTCACCAATGACTGTTGACTGTGTGATATATACCCCAGTTAATTACAGATAGATAAACAAATCTGTATTGCTCTCATTGTTCATTACCCGCGGAAAACCATTCTGTTATCGAGCCCTTTTTGTAGCGTCATGGGAATAATGGTTGAAGTGTATTTAGGATTTTTCACGATGAATAGAAGTGGATATTGTTTCCACAATTATGAAACTTTTGAACAAAGGTTGATCGCCTTACTTAGTCATCAGCTGTTTGACATTTCAAGTCGCCTCCGAGTTAAATGTCACAAAGTCACCATTAAATATTACATTAAATATTAATTTTGAAATACTTGTAGTCATTACCAAGCATGGATGTTATAGGATCAGGGATATATCATACAGTCCAACAGGCTATTTTCACACTCATCATAAAAATTGTCAATTCTGATTCAAAACTACAAGTATCACATATGATTCATTCAAGCAATATGGACTCTGTAGACAAATTGGTAATATTGCTATTTTCCTGACCATTAAGGTGGCTTGGTCTGTTATCTGTGGGTTCTTGTTGTAATGTTAACGTTATCCCAGCTGGCAGACAAATCATTTCTACCAATAGATAGATTTAAGTCACAAGATTTGTTGATGACAAGTTTCAATTTCCTTATGTGCTAAGTCTGTCTGCTGTATCTCTATCTGTATGAAAACTTAAAGTTTTTTTAATTCTGAGTATCTAGTTCCTGTTTGGGAAGTATACACTTAATAGCTTACATTTATCTAGATTTTTCGTCTTACATGAAATGTTGTAAGATATATAGGTTGTTGTGTCGTCCAGGGCAGTGAGTTCCAGTGTTAGACAGCCGGGGTAAGAACAGATTTGTTGCACTGAAATATTTGTCTGTAGTCATTGCTTTTGTTACATATTTCTTGTTGACCTGTTTCTGTCCGAGTAGAGGTAGTTGTCCACGGTAACAACCACCTACCCTCTGACAACTCTGTAGAGGAGGAGGAGTCTGTGGACGCCCTCCCAGTGGTCACACGGCTATATTGGCTGTACAGTCAGGGGCAGATAAGTCTTACTCCATGCACCTCCTCGTATCCTTTCTGGTGCTGATGTATATTTTTATTGGAAGGGGTCTCAGAAGTATAGATGTACATCCATTACCAATCTGACAAGAGGGTCGTAAGGAAGCCATGAGTTGAGTTTTGAGGGACTCTGTCAACAAATTTTTGCAGTATAAATCTGAGCGTGGATTGTGTTTTTTCGGTATGAAAAGTTTTTCTCAATTAAACATGTTGCATATGGTCACTTATATAGGGATTTTGTGCCACTTCCTCCAATACTGTATCTTACAGTTATACCTGAAAGTGCTAGCTGACTTTGATAAACTGAAGTTAAGGATTACTATAAGCATCATGACATCTCCATCTCTTTGAGGTCTGTCTGGAAATCCAAATGGTCTTGAAAAGATTTTATGGATCTTATATACAAGGACCAATTACCTGCAAGGAGACCTACTGTTGCTGGGTGGGACAGTATTTCATTGATATGACATAAAAACAGTTTGGGTCCCAGAACAGCCCCTTGGAGAACTCTGGTTTCTACGAGAACGCTTGGAGAGTTTGTGCCATTATTCAATGTCCGCTCTGCATGCCAAGTAATGCTCTATATTTTGCCTGGGTTAGTTGCATATTTCTTTTGTCTCTATTTTCCTTTTTCCATCAGACTTTTTTCATGGTGTACTGGTACAAGTTTGTTACATACCATACCATACATGTATCTGGTTTGACCGGTTTGCTTAACCGTAAATGAATAAGTATGGTGACTTATCTGTAGGTGTACTGGTTTAGTGACTGTATACTAATAAAAGTGTATTATGAATGTACAAATTTATCTGATAGAGTTCAGTCTGCCTGGTATATGACTGCCTTACAGCTGGGTTTATCCCAGTGCTGTCCAGAATTTCAGAAATGATCTGGTATATCACTTGAAATAATCAATTATGCAATAGTATATAGACCATGTGTTGGGTTTATGGATAACAAGTAACAACTCCCAATAAATGCCTCTTTATGGTGCCCCAGATGTGTACATGTTGCCCAGGGGGGCACTTAAGTTGTTGAATGTAAACATCATTAGCCGATGTTTGTTTTATATATTCATCAACCATTACCAGTTTTCTTGTGGGTCTCTTTCCTTGCTTCTGTGTATTGGAAGAATTTTGGCAGACTTTCTGATTGATTGATAAATATCATTAGCCGATGTTTGTTTTATATATTCATCAACCATTACCAGTTTTCTTGTGGGTCTCTTTCCTTGCTTCTGTGTATTGGAAGAATTTTGGCAGACTTTCTGATTGATTGATATATCGGGTTAAAGTTGCCAAAAAAATATATTGGTTATGTTTATAATCAAACTAGTAACTATACATACATGTAAAAACCTGTTGTCACCTGCATTTGCATAATTCTGCCAAAGATGACCTCTTTGATCTGGTCCAATATTGCAGTATATTTTGAGTCCCCTACATTTGCACTGCTTACCCCAACCCCAACATTGACAAGGTTTAAGATCAAAAGTTTAAAAACTTTTTTCAAAAAGGAAAGGTGTGTAAAAGATAATTTTGATAGTTTACATGTTATACTACTGACTTCGATGACTTTGAGAAGTTAACATACTGAAATGACCTGCAATTAGCAGAGTTTACCTGTATTTTGACCCCACATATATATATGACCTCATTTCAAAGGTAATTAAGAACTTGACAGGTATGTGTGTATGTATGTATGTTTCTGAAGGGTAGGAACATTACATGTTGGCCTCATCAATTTAGCTGGGTAAGTGTGATGGAACAATTTGTTTCACCAGGTCGTAAATTGACTCCATCTGATTATACAATGCTGAGAGAGTGTGATGGGCCAGATATTGTCTCCATCTACTATACATGTACAATGCTGAGTGAGTGTGTTGGTGTTGCTGGGTTGATAAACCAAGTATTGACCTCATTGAAGGTTTGTAAGATAAATCATACAGAAGATAAATGGGGGATGATGGCAATAAAACAATTTGTACAAGGCTCTGTCCATCAAAGCCCCATAAATAAAGATTACCAAGATTAGGCAGATGATGTGAAGACAGATGGGGGAAAAGTGGGGAAAGATGTGTAGAACAGTTGTAAGTCCAGCTGGTGGTCAAGACAGGGGTGATCACTCACTTCTAACAAGTTACTGACCACACCTAGTATAGAGAGGCCTCAAAGGGAAGGTGACCGTGGCCAGACTATCAGGACTATGTGTATGGGACTGTGTGCGGTGTGACATGTCAGAAACAGGACATACTAACATCTGTTCAGCTCCAATGGTCAAACCGGTCAGTCTATCTGATAAAAGTAGTTTTAGATATAAAGTAACAAACAGTTCGTGATTAGCATTCCTGACTGGTCAGTTTAGCTGATAAATGTAGACTATGACATGGTGAAACAAAATGAAATGTAGATTATAAAACTGGTCAGTCTGATAAAATAGTTCTGGACACGGTGAAGCAAAAATGAAAAACGCTATTACTCAGCAAGAAGAGACTGTCATGATTTGGCTAGTCCAAAAGGTGGTTTAAGGCAAGACCTTGAGGTGATGAAGACTGGACATCACACCTGGTCAGTGCAGTTGAGGAAAAGGAGGAAAGATCATCATAAGATTTACTGACCATGCTAGAGAATGGATGGAGTTGTGATTGGGATGGTCTTAATTCAGATTCGAAGCCTGATTGGTTTATAAATGTTGCATCTTTGGGTCTAAAATTTTCGAGAAATATTTTTGTAGAATTTTCTTTAAATTTTCAAATAGCCTCTTGTTCTGTGTCTTACAGTTACCACAGTAAATCCCTATATGCATGAAGTATTTTTCTGAAAAAGTTTACAGGTTGACCTTTGAACTATTGATGGCTTATACAGCTGTGTTTGGTTAAATGAAGTTGATTGGCTAAAACAAGGAATGTACACTTGTCCAGCTAGTGATGGTCAGCTTAAATACCTTACTGGTCAGTCAAACAAAGTATTGGTCCAGTGTTGTAAATTGAGTTTGAAGTTCTGTGAACAGAAATGCACCTGGCTACAGGACACTGTCAGAGTGTTATCTATGCAGGCCAGTCAGAGTCGCATTCCAGTCTGAGTTCCTTCACACTCACTATCGCTGTAAGATGAGAGATGAGACAAACCATTTGTGAGCTGTTCTCTCTGTTTATAGAGACTTGGCCAATATGATGCAGGTGGTCTCGAGAAAAAACAAAAGCTTTCTCTAACATTTCATAGGGCTTAAATTTAATCATGAGATATATAGGCAGTGAAGGAGATTGATAACACTTTATATCTCATAACAATTTTAATTTGCAGACAAATTGTATCTGGCACGAGTCTATATGTTGTTTTTGTCAGCTGAGTTTGTGAGGTGCAGGGTTCGGCTGTAACACAAATACTCCATGACTGTAGCCGTTACAGGGAAACCTCATTACTTGTTCTCTGAGTACAGTCCTTCTTGTCAAATATGCAGACTATTTCCATGCTATACATATGAAGAAATATATTAGCCAGGGTCCAAAATACTTTTAAACCTTGTTATACTGCCAAAATTGTTCCGCAATATTTTGACATTATAAAGAGGTTTAGTGTGTTATGAAGGGAAATTATAAAGGAATTATTCAAAAATAAATGGAGAACTTGAAATTCATTGGCTGTAAGCAAGGTGGCAGTGAATTGGAGGCATTGTATTGAGGTTTTAATTACTGTAGAAACGGAAGGCATCAAATTTAAGTTTAACAGTATTTGAAATGAAGGACACTGTATCAAGGTCTTGCTGTATGTAAATAAGGGGCTGATCATGTCAAGGTTTTATAGTGAGGTTCACGCTAAAAGTGCTACAGTTTCAGCTCACTTAGCCTTTCATTGGTTGCTGCAGGTTATGAAATTTGAGAATTTAGTTATTTTTGTTGACTTTGGCTAAACTAAGAATCTGTTTTTTTCAGGCAGCAGATTTCCTGTGCTAGATTCTGAGGATTTCCTGGAGTTAACACAGTGAACAGAGAAGGCTGTACAGGTAAGTAGCCATCAGAGATATGTCTAGTGTTCTGTCAGTCTTCAGCTTCATCATCAATATCTGAGGGATAGATAGTGAAAAAAAAGAAACTTGGATCAGATTTAGGAGGTTAGGGACTTAACACTTAACGTGACCCTTTAATTTTAGTGCATTTCTATCTGTTCATGGCCAAAAAGAAATTTGAAGCCTTTTTAATTTGGATCTCCTCGGTGTTTATTGATCAAAGTTATTTTAGTTCCTTGTCAACCTTTGTATGACAGATTGTTGACAGAATCGTGGATTTGGGTATTCAAGAGTTCAACTTACCAGGTTGTCACTTAACTCTCCTGGGGGAGTCTGTTTTTCTTGGTGGTCAGATGTAACATCTGCCCCTATGTGTGTATACCTCTATGTAATATATATATGGTTACCTAGCTTCTACCTCTGTACCCCATAATTACCAGATACCCGAGAAAGAACGCGAAACAGTATAGACTGTTAACATACTGTAATAACAGGTTAGACAAAATCTTCTCCAGTTTAAAATGAATATTTTAAGGCTGATAGTGAAGCTTGTCTTTTCAAAGCATTTGATTACAACACCTGCTGGTCTGCTACAGGTTGAAAGGTAGATTCAAAATAGACACTTTAGGATAAGGTTCCAACCTGACTTTCAATGTTTTCTCCAATATGGCAGCCATGCTAGGTATGACCAAAATCTTAAGATTCAAAAACAGACATTTTAGACTGAAGTTCTATCTAGTATCCATGGTTTCTCAAATGCAAGTTTGTCGCAAATGTTGGCTCAGGTGATATGATCTGAAATGATTCTGATCTCTAGGTAGATTACAGGTTTCGCTGTACATATTCTGTACATATGATGATTAATACATTGGTCTGTAATTAAATGTTATCAGAAATATTCAAATATTCAGAAATAATGTAATTATGATAATATATATAAAATATGTATGATATTGTAGCATTTATGGATTTCAATGTATTCAGAACAGATATCAAGTGACAAATCACATTTTAAACCTGTCATTAACATTTGCCAAAACATTTGCAAACTGTCGCTGTTAGGAACTGGTGAAGTCTGATTATAGTCAATGGCAACTTTTGTCAGCCATCTTTGGGAGGGACAGGCCTCAGTTTGGTCAGTCTTTACAACTTTTGTCAGACATCTTTGGGAGGCACAGGACTCAGTTTGGTCAGTCTCAACAACTTTTGTCAGACATCTTTGGGAGGCACAGGACTCAGTTTGGTCAGTCTCAACAACTTTTGTCAGCCGTATTCGGGAGGGACAGGCCTCAGTTTGGTCAGTCTTTACAACTTTTGTCAGACATCTTTGGGAGGCACAGGACTCAGTTTGGTCAGTCTCAACAACTTTTGTCAGCCATCTTTGGGAGGCACAGGCCTCAGTTTGGTCAGTCTCAAGAACTTTTGTCAGCCGTATTTGGGAGGGACAGGCCTCAGTTTGGTCAGTCTTTACAACTCTTGCCAGCCATCTTTGGGCGGCCCAGGCCTCAGTTTGGTCAGTCTCAACAACTTTTGTGAGCCATCTTTGGGAGGCACAGGCCTCAGTTTGGCCAGTCTTTACAACTTTTGTCAGCCATCTTTGGTAGGCACAGGCCTCAGTTTGGTCAGTCTCAACAACTTTTGCCAGCCATCTTTGGGAGGCACAGGCCTCAGTTTGGCCAGTCTTTACAACTTTTGTCAGCCATCTTTGATAGGCACAGGCCTCAGTTTGGTCAGTCTCAACAACTTTTGTGAGCCATCTTTGGGAGGCACAGGCCTCAGTTTGGCCAGTCTTTACAACTTTTGTCAGCCATCTTTGGAAGGCACAGGCCTCAGTTTGGTCAGTCTCAACAACTTTTGTCAGACATCTTTGGGAGGCACAGGACTCAGTTTGGTCAGTCTCAACAACTTTTGTCAGACATCTTTGGTAGGCACAGGCCTCAGTTTGGTCAGTCTTTACAACTTTTGTCAGACATCTTTGGGAGGCACAGGACTCAGTTTGGTCAGTCTCAACAACTTTTGTCAGCCATCTTGGGGAGGCACAGGCCTCAGTTTAGTCAGTCTTTACAACTTTTGTCAGCCATCTTTGGGAGGCACAGGCCTCACTTTGGTCAGTCTTTACAACTTTTGTCAGCCATCTTTGATAGGCACAGGCCTCAGTTTGGTCAGTCTCAACAACTTTTGCCAGCCATCTTTGGGAGGCACAGGCCTCAGTTTGGCCAGTCTTTACAACTTTTGTCAGCCATCTTTGGGAGGCACAGGCCTCAGTTTGGTCAGTCTTGACAACTTTTGTCAGCCATCTTTGGGAGGCACAGGCCTCAATTTGGTCAGTCTGGGCAACTTTTGTCAGCCATATTTGGTAGGCACAAGCCTCAGTTTGGTCAGTCTCAGCAACTTTTGTCATCCATCTTTGGGAGGCACAGGCCTCAGTTTGGTCAGTCTTTACAACTTTTGTCAGCCGTCTATGGGAGGCACAGGTCTCAGTTTGGTCAGTTTTGACAACTTTTGTCAGCCGTATTTTGGAGGCACAGGCCTCAGTTTGGCCAGTCTGGGTAACTTTTGTCAGCCGTCTTTGATAGGCACAGGCTTCAGTTTGGCCAGTCTCAACTTTTGTCAGCCATATTTGGGATGCACAGGCCTCAGTTTGGTCAGTCTGGATAACTTTTTTTCAGCCGTCTTTAATAGGCACAGGCCTCAGTTTGGTCAGTCTTGACAACTTTTGTCAGCCGTCTTTGGGAGGCACATGCCTCAGTTTGGCCAGTCTCAACAACTTTTTTCAGCCCGTTAAAAATAATTGTATAAATATTATAGTTCTAAGCTAAGGGAAACACCAATGTAGTATCAGCTGTTCACGTTTACCTGGATGTTAGATTTCTGTGTTTTAGGTATAAAATAACAAACAAACCATTTACATTAACTAATAAACTATTCTTTTAAAACAATGGTGTTAAAAATGAAGTCCCATCGGAATGAGTGGTTATTTACTGCCCTGTTTGGGGGACCACCCATCGATCACCTAGTCTATTGTTATTGTGGTGTTGCATCACCTGATTGAGACGGAATGATAAGAGCTATAGGGAGAAGATTGAACACACAGCCCTTATTGACGAGATCTTATCACCTAGTTAGTCTGGTATCACACACCTGAATGGCTTTCTCGTTACTCAGGTAGCCGTTGAAATGGCACTCAAGAGCAAGGACATTACCCCATCCATGATGGCCTTTTGATCATACTTAATGTTGGGCCTGAAAGCTTGTATGTAAAATGTAGCAAACCCAGTCAGAGTGAGTGTGGGGTGGACGGACTGGATTAAAACAGTCTATATATAGCTCTGTATCTGTTAGATAGATCTGTCTAGCTAACTAGATCGGTCAAACTGTCCTTCCGTCACATCCTCTATTTATAAAGAATTTCCCCGTCAGAGTTTTACTACTAGTGTATCTCCCCCTAATTTGAGAACTTAAAAAATCAGACATCCAAGTGATCAAAATTATAACAAATACTTAAATTTTCTAGAAACTGCATGGGTCCAGTCTACATCATTGAGTGCTTGATTTTTGTTACGGTTAGAGCGCTTTCTTGGATTTCCTGCGAGTTAAAATTTATTATTTTGTAATATCAGGAGTTTTTTCTGAAAATTAAAAAATGTAGAAGTTTGCATTGAGACTGTTTCCCTACGTTATATGTTAATTCTTCCCTACGATATATGTTAATACTTCCCTACGATATATGTTAATACTTCCCTACGATATGTTAATACTTCCCGAGCTGCTCTTACTTGTCAATTAATCCAAAAGATGTAGAAATTGTTCCGACATCAACAATAGGTTTCCTAATCAATAAACTGTATTGAATTGATAATTGATTTTTTTTTTTTTTAAACGGATTTTCTTATTCCACTGACTGTGGGAGACGTTCACTGTGGTTGCCGTATATAGCATCTGTTCTACAGATAAAACCTTTCCCCTGCCTCATCAAGGCTTCCAAGAAGAAATAAATACAAATTCTAAAATGCATTTGTAATGTTTGAAGTGACATAACTTCCTGTTTTATGTTGTAAATGTGTGTTCACATTGCCAGCCACAGACAAGTAACCTTTCTTTTGTTCTGGTGTCTAATTCCTCTGGTTACCGGCTGAAAAAAGACATGTTTCCGTAATGAAGATAAGCCGGTCTCTATGGCAACAATAGACAGAGGGGCTTTGATGTGGATTGTGAAAAGAAACAAGGTGTTGTATTGTTCCTGTAAGCGATGAATGAGCTGCTGTTATCACCGGGTGTAGGGAGGAGTTTGGAACATGTCAGAAATCATGATACAGGAATATATAAATCGCAGGCTTGTTAGGCAACTCAAATTGTCCAGAAAATCAGCTTTTCCAGATGCTGATATGAGTATTTCGCGTGCATACATTTTTATTCATGAGGATATAACTGTAGGGAAACTTTGCCTTTCATTCTGATAAAAAAATGTTGTGGATTTATAATTGCTGTTGGGGGAAAAAATTTCCCTCTTTATATGGAAAGCAAAACGGCAAAAATTGCGGCGAAAAATATTCGGGTATACAATCATTTATGTTTTACCAATATTGTTTGTTTTACGTTACGGATAAATATTTGATCACATGAAATACATTATAACAACTCTATTTTGTATTGTGACGAGGGATAATTATACCATGAACTTTGCTCATTTGTGATCGTAAGTCAATGATGTTTAAGTGTTGCATGTGACGTCAACGCTGTAGAACTTGGACAGTAACTGATAAAACAGTGTGTTTTGTACCATTGACATTTCTATAATCTCCGAGATGGGTATGGATGGGTTACAGTCTTTGATGACTGGGTGTGAGTGGATGGGTTTTGGTCGTTGATGACGGGGCTAATGATACTTCAGTATGTTATCTGTTGGGAGTGGTGCACCCTAATGACAGACGCGGTAGTTTACGTGAGTTACAACTGTTACAGTGACCTAAGCCAGCTACACCCAGGCCACAATGTAT